TGTTCTAAGAGCATTATCGCTAGGAAAAGAATGTTGAGCTCATGTATCTAATTTTACTTCTACCCAAAATAAGTCATCCCTCTTCATCTGAGGGAAAAAAAAAACCCAAGTGATTAAAATGAACCAAAAAGGGACAATTACTATGATTACTGAACCTTTACTGATAAAGTACAAATAAGTGGGGGCCTCTTTTGCAGGAGAGTAGCATGAACAAGTATGAACTTTATGGAAAAGTCTGATTCTATGAAACTACCATGCTCCCAATCCTTTCTGTGTAGGGTTTCTGGGTGTGTCTTGGCTATTTTTAATTTCATGTACAAAACTGAAGTTTATTCATTTCTATTGTGAACAGCTTCCTTAAATTTATCTCCACCTAATAATATATTATCAAATATAGTGAAAGAAATTTTCCACAGTACAATTTCTTACCTTAAGGAGTTTACAATAGAGGCTGGAAGATACTGGAGTCACACACACCACATAGCACAAGAAGATAACCTACTGGACATACCATCTAGGTAAATACACACTCCTCTGGGAGTTCCAACAGAGGAAAGACTGATATAGACTAATAGAGAAGGAATACTTTTATTTAGAGAAGTGGTGGGATTTGAGCTGGGCTTTAAGGCATGGGCAGAATTCACATAAGCAGGGAGACAGGGAACATTCTAGATCACAACAGATCTAGAGGGTAGGAATAAGAAAGAGAATGTGTAGGGCACACAAATTAGAGGCAGACAATAAAAAAAAGTAAGTAATATAAGAGGAGGATCTGTAGCTCATCTTTTTTTCCTACCTCCAATATATCCATGAGATACGACATCCTCCCATCATTAACAGCAGCAGTGGGCAGCAGTAAAGATTTTCACAGCTGAGAGTCATGATACTAAAATTGGTTTAGAAGAAGGGCAAGAAGAAGATGGGCAAGAAGAGACTTATGATCTGATTTCTAAATTTCAGATGTTAGGTAAAAGGGTGGTGATAATGAGAAAGAAAACACTTACAAAAATAGGAGAGTCCAAAACTGAAGCCAATTTTTTTCAACAAAATGAGACTCATTTTAGACACATTGACTTTGAAAATGATAAACATAAAGAAAGAAAGAAAGAAAGAAAGAAAGAAAGAAAGAAAGAAAGAAAGAAAGAAAAGGAAAGGAAAGGAAAGGAAAGGAAAGAAGATGATAAACACCAAAATGTTTAACTGGAGATGTGAAATTAGAGAGTAGAGGGCTTGATGAATATTTGGGAGTCACCAGCATACGGATGCCAGGGGTATGAAAAAGGAAGGGAACAACAAGGTAGAGGTATGTATCAGTCCCTGGCAAAGGCAACAGAAGCAAAGGGTCAGACAGGCAGGAGACTATCTGGACTATCTGACAGAACACAATTCAAGAAATCAGGAACCAATGCAGAAAAGACCAATGGATCTGGCCTTAAGATTATTATGGTTCTGGAAAGAAAAATTAAAGCACAGTTGTATGGGTAAACAGCAAACTAAAGAGGATTACCTGAAAGGAAAGGAATAGGAAAAAACGGCCACATAAAGAAAAAAGAAAAGAAAAAGCGAAAAACAGGTTGGTAGCTAACGTGGCAATAGTAACAGAAAAAAAAAACGAAAAACAAAAAAACAAAAAAGGTTACTTTCAAACTGGTGAGTCCTGTGTGCAGACAGCTCTAAGTGAAGAAAAAAGTCAGAGAAGGAAGAGCTTGATGATGAAGGGAGGATAGATAATAAGCAGATAATAGTAGGGTATAGAATTCTATTACTAACCAGAACATTTACTGAACTTTCACATGGTACCAATCACTCTGTGAGGCACTGTAATTGCATTATCTCATTTTATTCCTATAGCAACTCTAAGTATTTGGTATTTTTATTATTCCATATTACATAATAGAAAGCTACTATGTAGAGTGTTAAATTACTAACTTAGGGTTACAAACCTAGGAAGAGTCAGAACCAGAATTTGAATTCAAGTTTGTCAGATACCATGTTGTTCCTACAAACTTCTATGCAACACTGAAGAAAAGTACACAGGAGAGTGAATTCCTAATTCCTTAACTACTCAGAAGAAAACTTTAATAAAATTGTTTATAGGCAGTTTAAAGTAGCAAAGAATGTGGGTCTGCCCTCTCCCCTTAACAGAAGTCCAAACCATATACCTTTGAGACAGAATGGCCTTTTATAGCTTTTTCCCCTTGGATCACTTTGGGCCTAGTTTCTCCACAGAACTTGATGAACTAGCAGTATACCTCATACGCATTCACAGTGATCATTTCAGGAAAAAAGTTGAAGTTAACCACTGGTTTGTTTTTCAAGAAAAAAATCTTGAACTGAAAGTGCTCAAGACTGTAGTTCACAGGAATACAGATAGGAAACAAAAATTTAGGAATTAATTATGTAGCAGATTTCCTAATTTATCTGTATTAGGACTAAAGACTACAGAGATACAAAACAAAAAAGAACTAGTCTTTTGGCACTTTGGTTGCATCTAAAACTTGCTTTCTGTGCTTGAGATATGAGCTCATATAATTACTATCTATGACCTTATAAATGCGGAGAAAAGCAAGAACACTCAAAAAGCCAAGTTTGGATTAGGAAGACACTCACTAATAGGTCAAAACTACCTTACTTTTCTCCTGTCTTCACTTAGGCATTTCTCATTTTAGAAAGTGGGGTCAGAAAGCACTGAAGTTCTGCTATTAGTTAATAACTCCAGTAAACTGCCTTTTGCCATAGAAATTAGAAAATAGGGGTGCCCGGGTGGCTCCAGTGGGTTAAAACCTCTGCCTTTGGCTCAGGTCATGATCTTGGGGTCCCGGGATTGAGCCCAGTGTCAGGCTCTCTGCTCAGCATGGAGCCTGATTCCCCTCTCTCTCTCTGCCTACTTGTGATCTCTGTCAAATGAATAAATAAAATCTTAAAAAAAAAAAAAAGAAAATAGAGCACTAGGACTTAGAGTTACTTACAGATATTAATTATCCATGTTATTCCTTAGTCTGTGCCTCATTACCACTGGGTAAATCAGAGTTAATCAATAAGTAACGAAATCTACTTATTACCACTTCTGATAAGTTGTCTTGTGCTTCAGAAAACTGAAAATAATCACCAAAATTAGAAGTTTTAATTACATGTAGAGGTCATTTATCCATGTCATTCTTAGTCTAATGTCTTTTTACCACATATAATACAGAGATACCTGTATTGGAGTGGAATGAATAATGAATCTACTAATACAAAACTTTAATCCAAAGTTCTCTTTTCAACGAACTTATGTTCAAACATTACAACTTGGTCTGTACTAAGCATGCTCCAAGATGTCTTTTATTTACAGCACTCAACGAAGAAAATTAAATAGACTCCCTCTGCTAATTATACATTCTGAATACAGCAAAGCTTAAGATTTAACATACACCTTACCACTAAGTGAAAAGGGACAAAAAAAAAAAATGAAGAAATTTTGACAAATAACAAAACTTCTAAAATTTTAAGAAATCAAATATTCAAGGACAGCCCGTTTAGCCTGAAAGGAGTAATATAAATTTCAGTATTGTTCCAAACCAGCCTTGTAAATTCAGTCTCAAAAGATGCAGTAGGGAAAAACCAAGGTAGATGTACATAAATAACAAAATACTGTCCATCAGAAAAACCTTCGCACTTCGAAACCCTATTTGGCTAAATTTAGAAGCTGTCCCATGTTACATCAGTAACTGTATTTCTTCAGATTAAGGAAATTTTTATAGATTATTTTATCTCCCATTCTTAAGCTATTTTCAGTAGTAACTGCTTAAAGTCTGTGTCTCTTTTCATCTCCTAAGAAGCTCAAAAACTGCATGAAAATAATGTAATGGAGGTCAACACCCCCCATTTCACTACCACAAAGGGAAGTATGTTAGTGATGATCTCTTGACTTTTCCATCATCTTTAGGAAAATTCCAGTATATACAGTAAAGGTAGCAATCTAATAAAATAACCAACTTGTAACAAGAAGTCTCTTTGGCTTCTTCCTCAATCTATCAGTAAATCATTCTCTGCACCCAGGCATAACACATCTCACAGACAATCTCGCTGCATGTCCTACATCAAAACAAAACAATGGATCTACCAATTTAGAGCTTTCATTCATTTAAAACTATCAGCACAAGCACAGAAATCCAACATATAAGTAACATGTTTTAAAAGGCCCATCCATATGCTTTTACTGGCAACTGATAACAGTGCTTCTACATCCAACCTCCTGTATGTGCTGGTATAACATTCAGGAAACAGTGCCCGAATAACATGGTCACATGCATTGTTTATTGCCCTAAATGCAACACTGCTCAATTTTCTTTTTTTTTTTTTTTAATGTTTGAAATACCCCTTTTTGTATCATTTCTCAATCAGAAACTAAGGTTTTATTATCTTTTCTATTTGTAAAATGAAGGTACTTAATGAAACACTTAGTGAAAATGAATTAAATCTCATTATGCTAAAGTTTAAGCTATCCTGGCTACTATGCAACTTACAAAATGCTATTTTAAATTGTTTCATATCATATCCCACCCTACCAGTGTTATGAGAAACAGCCCTTTAAAAATACTAGTTCTCCTAGCTAACAAAATTTCACATTCATAAAAAGCAATTTGTGTTTTGATGATGAGGGTGATGGTGATGATGATCTCACTAATTTTATCAGTATAATAATATTTACATCACAAGTCATTCAAGCTTACCTTTAATGATACGATATATAGGTAAATATTATCTCAAAAATACTTTCAAAACTAGAAATTTATGCTAAAAAATACTGCTTTCTCATTGCAGTATAATCTGTGCAGGCCAGAATTCAGAGAAGAACTATCATTCTGCAAAAAGCAAATATTTATGTCACATAAATAACAGGTATTTTCTTGACCTACTCATCAATACCACAACCATCACACAGTAAATGACCCTATACATTTAAAATGAATCCTTCTAAATCAGAAACAGAATACTGAATTTTATAGTTCACTTACCTGAACCTCGTTTGTCCTCTGTTTGATAGTATCTTCTTTCTCCTTAAGGTCCTGTTCTACATTATTCTTTTCCCTAGAAGACCAGCAAACAATGCAAGAATATTTGAGAACATCAGCTACAGCCGGTATGGTTATCCATCCTCCTAACCCTGAATCGCTTTTTAAATACATAGTGAAACATTCAATTTTTAAGTGAAGGGCAGAGTTTTCCACCCTCTTTTAATTATTTATGGAATAGAAATCAATATAAGCTCTGTTTGTAAAAAAAAAAAATGCCTTCTCACTAAAATGTGGTGAAAAGAGAATAGATTAAAAAAGGAAGAGGAGAAAAATAATCAATGAAACACTCAGGTTTCACTGATCTCACTGTTGCTATGGAAATGATGTCCAATGAAAACTGCTGGTGAAAAAAAGGAGGGGTTGCATCAGCTCTGTACGCTTAACCCTTAAGTACCACTGTCAAATCAAATGAAAATGGCTAATAGAAATAGTCAACAATATTAAGGAAAAGGACATTTTCTGAAGTGTTAATTTCCCCTTAAATCACTGGTGTGTACCAATTTTAGAATGAAACAACACAGAAGAAATGGGTAAGACTGTCAATAGACAATCCATTTGCTCCATCAAATACTGCTCTACCCAAAAAAGCTATTTTAGGACCACTTGTCAATTCCAGTTGATCAAATACGTAAAACAAGGTATACTAAGTAAAAACAGAATCACATTTAGCATTTATCTCGTTCTATACTCTTCAGATCAAACATACTAGGAGCCACTTGTAGTCTGAGATATATTATCTAAATTCTTACATGCTTCCATCAGAGCTACATTCCTAATGAATGAGTCCTAAGCAACCTTAGATTCAGAATTACAATATAAAGCTATTTCTTTCGGTGTAATGAATTTAACTGCTTATACTGAAATCACACACACACACACACACACACACACACACATTGACTTGCTCCCTTTGTTTTTTTTTTTTTTTTTTCTTTTTTTTCTTTTTTACAAAACGAGAGAAAAATCCATAGAATTCTACAGCAATACATTTTTGGGTGGGGGTAAAGGTAAAAAGAAGGCAACATGAAGAAGGGGATGGCATTCAAGAATTCATCCAAACTAGTTCTGTAGAGTTTCTCCTTAGAGCTTCAAGACTATTATTTCAGTTTCATCCCAGACATCATCCAAACATAAGCTCAGGCTCCCTTAAGCTGTAGCATAAAGGAAAGTGGGGAAATTATACCAGAGAAGATACTTAGGGGGCAACTTAATGCTATATTTACATTTCTCCCCTTTTTGGGGTAATATTTTAAATGTAGACAAAAATCCACTGTTTTGGATATGCAGGCATAACGTTCTTAAGATTTATAAGGAAGAAAAAAGCCCAAGAATAAAACCTATTAGTATACTGTTACTTTTAAACACTTGAGATGGCCAAGGAGCTCACTAACTGTTTCTCAAATGGGTCGCAATGTGGGTCGTGATGTTGCTGAGATTTTAAATAGTCCCTTACCATGTGAATCACTGTTGCAGCCCATTCCTCCCATACCTCAATCTACTTATTATGCAAAGGTCATCCCCACTCCCAACCCTTAAAAAATTAGGTAAAATCAAAAAATAGAAATCACAGGAAGAAAAATCTAAATATACCACACAAATTCAGCAACCTCAATCTTGAAGGAAAAAAGAAATTTTTCCTTCCCTCCATATGTGAGCACAAGAATGTTTTCATTCCTGCTGCAGCATGTCAGAGATAAGTCACATGAAAAACTAGCCCCCTCCCCCAACCCCAAATTCTCAGAGGCATTCCACACAGGCAAGTATCAATTATGCCCCCTCGTTTTGAAGGTAGCTAATAACAAAAATAGAAAATATCACACAGCATCACAGATCAGCACCACACACTAGTATGCATGTTTGTATTCAATCCTTTCTGCTTCTCTGTTAACTGCTGTTACTGACAGTGTCTGCTCAAAGATCAAGTGTGCAGGCAGGAAAACTACAAGAAAGCAGTGAGCTGACAACACAGCGAAGACAGAAGGGTAAGAGAGCTTTAAAATAAAAAAAAAATAATTAAAAAAAAAAAAAAAAAAGGAAGCTAGCCGGGTGAAAAAGAAAACAGACTACAAAGGACTGTCAGCTCTCACCAACAAATAATACAGTCTCTGTTTGGGTAAAATGAAGGAAGCTTAAAAGGTAAAGATTCCTTTTCATAATTTTGGGTGTGGGAGTAAGGGGAGCAGTAATGATCTCTCCAAACATTCCCGAAGACCATTTCCAACTAAACAAAAATATAGGATTGTTAGGCATTAATTCTCACAGTACTGAGATCAATTAAATTTAACTTCTGATCCACTTTTATCTAGTGAAATTCTGGTCTCCTAATAATTTTTATTTTCAAAACCAAGGAGTGTATGATATATTACTAAAGAGAAGATGTAAAAAAAAAAAAATCATCAGTTCTATTACAGTCTACTAAAACCATCACAATTGGGGGCACCTGGGTGGCTCAGTGGGTTAAGCCTCTTCCTTCGGCTCAGGTCATGATCCCGGGGTCCTGGGATCGAGCCCCGCATCAGGCTCTCTGCTCAGCAGGGAGCCTGCTTCCCTGCCTCTCTGCCTACTTGTGATCTCTCTCTCTCTGTCAAATAAATAAATAAATAAATAAATAAATCTTAAAAAAAAATCACAATTGAAAATCTGTCCTATAAATGAGACTAAAAATCAAATTATTTTCTCATTAACTTAGATTATAATTTCAGGGATGTTGTTCTGTTTTATTCCATTGACTCTTCTTCTTTTTTTATCTAAATACAATTAGCCAATAGTACATCATTAGTTTCAGATGTACAGTCCATAGACTCTTAACCTCTGTAGCTATCCTTCTCATTTCCAGCAAGTAAGAATACCTAAATACATTTAGATGCATGAAGATGCTTAGGTGCAAGAGAATGGGACGTGGGTCATATTTCTTACATTCTCCTTTCTTTCAAATAACATATATTTTTCTGTGCATAACTATACAAAGCTTTCTGTTTAGCATTAATAATTCAAAAACTTAATCTTTTCAAGATTCTGTGCCACATTAAAAAATATTTATATGCAGTTTCTCAAGGAGCCCACCAATACATGTGATAAGACAGAGTCAAGATATATTTAAAAATAGGTGTGTGAGCATTTTGCCCAAAGCACTACTCATCCTGGATGACAGGAAAAGCTCTTGCGTTTTTAGCTTAGTAACTTCCAGAAGGGAAAAGAAATGATCCTACATACCTCCTATCTTAGATTATCTCTGTGACCCTATTCACTCCCAAGATGCTGGCACATCCTAAAAAATCCACAAATACCAAAGCTTTACATAAAGAAAGACTGGGGATAAGGCTCCCTAGTTTCCAAAAGCTGTTGGTTCTTTTTGATTTGGTGGAAGCTAAGATGCGAACCAGCAAGAAAACCAAAGCCCAAGCTAGGCTTTCAGAAGCCTAAAGTTGACAACTGCATAAACTTACTATGAATTAGTCAAAGCTATTCACAAGGACAGTGGGGACCCAAGTCCATGCAGTTCACTTTCATTTCCCCAGGCGCTGTTTATGGGGAGAAGAGGGTGAGCCATCTGTCTTAATTTTGATATAATACCACATTGTCAGAGAAACAGATTTAAGTCACCTTCAAAGCCCTTCCCAGAAATATAGTTTTAGGGTTTTTTCCTGAAAATAAATACCCATTATTTTCCAACCAAAGAGCAATAAAAAAGAGAAACCAGTTGGAAACTAAAAACCAGGGTGCCTGGGTGGCTCAGCTGGTTAAGCGACTGCCTTCGGCTCAGGTCATGATCCTGGAGTTCCGGGATCGAGTCCCACATTGGGCTCCCTGCTCAACCAGGAGTCTGCTTCTCCCACTGACCTCTCTCCTCTCATGCTTTCTCTCTCACTCTCTCTCTCTCTCACAAACAAATAAATAAATAAAATCTTTAATTAAAAAAAAAAAGAAACTAAAAACCAATTAGTTAGAAACTCATGAAGGGTGATGCTTGGGTGGCCAAGTCAGTTAAGCGTCTGCCTTCAGCTCAGGTCATGATCCCAGTGTCCTGGGATCAAGTCCCACATTGGGCTCCTTGCTCGGCAGGGAGCCTGCTTCTCTCCCTCTGCCTCCGCCTGCCACTCTGCCTGCCTGTGCGTGCGCGCTCTCTCCCTCTATCTCTCTCTCTCTCTCTGACAAATAAATAAATAAATAAAATCTTTAAAATAAAAAATGTAGTTTAACTGCCAATAATCTCTTATCAAGCAAACATAGAAAAGCCAAGCTATTCTCATTATTCTTATTACTATTCTGGTCACTACAGTAGTCTTTAGTAAAGTATGTAGGTCGTACAGAGAACAAGAAAATGGGACTAAAAACTGGAGACTCACAAGAGTCAGACACTCGACCAAGTCACCCAGGTTATTGTAAAGACTATTTTTTAGATGAAATTAACATTTAAATCAGTAGACTTTGAGTAAAATAAATTACTCATCATAGTATGAATGGGCTTCACCCAATTAGTTTAAGGCCTTCATAGAGGAAAAAAACAAAAACAAAAACAAACTGAGGTTCCCCAAGGAAGAGAGAATTCTATCTCCAAACTGTCTCTGGACTTGAGCTGCAACATCAACTCTTCCCTGAGTCTGCAACCTACTGGCCTTTCCTACACATTTCAGACTTGCCAGCTCCCACAACTGTGTGAGCCAATTCCTTAAAATAAATTGAATATAGTATCTACTTTACATATCATATGTGGAGACTGCTGCAAGGAGTGAAAAAGAAATACACAACAAAACTCAATAATACATCCCTATGCAACTTTAAGATCTATCTACTGATTCAACGAATACTAAATATTACTATATAGCTGTTACTGTGCTATACTTTAGGGCTACAAAAAAACAATGAGACAGGTACCTCCCATTAAGAAACTCAGAATTTAATGTATTTGAAGGGTCTGGCCGAAAAACGTAAAAAGATAATTATGATGCAGTATACTGGGTGCCAGAACGGGCCAGCACAGGTGCTGTGGGAACACAGTAGATGGGTACTTGA